ATGTAGGCGCCTCTGCCCAGCACTGCCGCTAGCAGTAACGCTGCTGCTGCTTGTAGAACCAAAGTTCCAAGCAAGTCACAGGAGCCGAAATTAGAGATGGTGGGAAAGAAGGAAGGTTCTAGCCAACAGTGAACGCAGGTCTGAGAACACTCGCCTCTCACACCCCGCCTTCTGCCGCAGTCCGCGCAGGCGCAGATGGGCTCTGCGACAAGGCGACCCCGCCCCACCCAGCCCCTCCCGTGGGTCTGCGAAAGTGGACCTGGTGATTCTGCACCAAAAACTGCGCAATAGCTGGAGGGAGGCTTTGGTAGGATGAAACAAGGAAATTGACGCAGATGGGCAGAGAATAAAAATGGAGGTAACACTAAGCTATTTCTCAGTCAGAGTACCTATTAGAGGGGTTCTACTCATGTGTCAGATACTTAATAGATTTTCAAAATTGATAGTTAGTATCCTTAGGATTTGTATCTTCCTCAAAACCGTTTATGAGGCAAAATATGCGTGCTGCGTGCAAGAGCTAAGCTCTCATCCCTTCCCTTGTCTCCCCTGTCATTCTCTCTACGGAAGCCTCTAGTAACTCTTAGATAACTGACAGCTATAAGACCCTGCCCCTTCTCCAAAGGGACAAAGGGCTGGGATTTAGTTTTAATTAGGAAACCTGTAGCTGCGTAGATAATTTCACTGCACAGGCCCAACCTTTACCAGTACAGGAAAATGTGATGTCTTTTAGTGGGGTCCTGCAATTAATTGTACTATTCCAGCCACATCCAAAATTTGTTATCCTCAGGCAGTTGGCACTATGGGGGTTATTAGGAAACCTCATTGTCAGATTTGGAAAAGTGCAATTATCATGGTTTATGGAGGCAATTCTTTGGGGAGCTTTCTATAAGATACTAAAAAGTGACTGGAATTTTGAACCACAGTCAGGCGCAGGAAACATTGCCCAGGATTGGAAGAAGAGGGAATCGTTTGTTTTCCTTATAAGCCTACGTGGTAACCTATGCTGCCAGTATTCTGTATGATCCCGTGAAGATAATCTTGTGTGGCTTAGTGCAATGTCAACTGGTTTTAATAGATCATATGATGCCATACTCTGACAGGATTTTATGTTATCCACCTTGCATTCGTTACATGGGTCCACAAAATTGGTTATGGGCCTAGCACACCATTACCCAAATAGTTGTATGTGGTTAGCCTCTGAATGAAGTGGTGAATGTCCATGGCTTGGAGGACAGGCTCAGCCACAGAAGTGAGGCTTGGCTGGGGGTGGGTATGGGTGGGGTGGGTGGTGGTGTGCTTTCCAGAAGAGGTGGATTCTGCTGCAATCTGTACTAAAATCGGGCTGGCCAGAAGCAGAAGTAAGCCCAGAATGCAGTTAAATATGCTATCTTATACACTGCTGCCGCTGAAGACACATGTGGATTTGGGAAGTTGAGAGTTTCTTCTTATTCACAATGGTGTGCACTACAGCCTGTTTCCTGATGATTGTCAAGCAAGCAACAAAGAGTGCTTCCATGGGCCTGCAATAGATTTCATAGGAATTCTTGGCAATTTCAATAAAGTTACTTTGATAGCCACACAAAATTATGCCGTGTACTATAGAATAGTCACATATGGGATCCTCAGAGGTGGTCATGTTATTTCAAAACTAAGCACTAACTGTATCATACATTTGGTCTATTTCTGTCCCTTCGTATCATGATGCAGCTATATTTCAGTGAAGGACCACCTGCTCTACCATATCCACTCACAAAGAATCTTTTCTAGAGAGTTCATTTATATAGTTTTAACAGCCTTAAGGAATACTCCCTGGAGGTGCAGCAGCAACAGAACTCCAACACATTTCTTCATGAGTCAGCTTGAAAACTATTGGTCTCATCTCTGTATGTGAGATGTGCACTGAGAGACAGAAAACACAAATTGGCAAGGGTTGGACCATATATGAAAGTAGAATTATAATCCACAGCTTTTGGCAACCTTCTCAGAAAAGTAACACTTTTATCTACAATAAACAGCCCTGGAAACCCACCTACTTCAAATAAGACCTTGTATGATGTCATTTGGCTAACACTAGTTAATGATCTAGGAAGCTAAAGAATAACTTCCGTAACAATCAGCCCCAAATGGCCAGGACTTGATTAATAATTAACAACTTCCATAATTTTTTGTCTCTGCTTCTAACTTTGGTCCAATAAGAGGCAGTCGAATATACAACTCTGAGAAATCACATAGGATGCCCCATTTATAATTAGCTGGTCTGCAGCTTCCCTAACTTAATTGCTGCCAATCTGTGCATACCAGAATCTTGCCCTTTCCCACTACGAAATTTTCTCACTCCTATAAATGCCACTGAGTCTCTGCTAAAACAAAATTGACAGTGGTTGTCTCTTTGCTGTAGTAAGCCCTGAATAAAAACTCTGCATATTGTATGATCTTTACTATTTCTCCTATATGTTAGGATCCTTCAGAAGTACTCATATTGGAACTGGGATGTGGATCAGTAGTAGGACACTTGCCTAGTGTGAGTGAGTTTGATCCCAAGCACCACCGAAAAAGTAACACTGATTAGAAATGCTCTTTAAGTATCTGTCAATGTTTTATTGCTATTAGGTTTAGTGGGCCCAGCAATTTTCTAATAGCTATAAGGAATTAGTTGACCATTTGGATAGAATCTCTCCTGTCCTAATAGCAGAGAGACGGTAGTTTTTCATAGGATCTAATAAGGTTTTAGTAGAGCTATCTTTGAGGTAACACTTAAGAGCTTTGACTATTTAATATGGAAGCCAGCTTTTCAATTGTTGTACAGCTAGTTTCCACTGAGTATTATAGAAAACTTAGTACTGTGAGAAGGTTAGGCCTTGGAAAACTTTCAATATGGGTATAACATGCATGATTTTACTTATTCATGTTGATTGTCAGTCATGGTGGAAATTCATGGTAAAGTCCCTCTAGCCACTTACATAGTTTTGGGTCTCTATAAATGGGACTTACAGAGGAGGGGGATAGAGTGAAAAAAACTTAACAAGAAATAAGGGCACTAGTGTAGAGACTCACATTGTTCATTACTGTAATCATATCATAAATGTTATAATTTTATTTTGATAACCCTTTGGGTTTTGCTTGTATTGGCATTGGATTATAGCTTTTTAAAGACAGGCATTTGCTATAACAGGTCAAACTTACCTGGAACTTGTGGTTCTTCTGCAGTAGTTAATAATAGGAGTTTAATCTAACTTGATGTAAAAATTTGATCGTAGAAGTTAGAAAATAGTTATGAATCGAAAGTACTGCCTTAGAATACAGCTTAGCCTGAATGCTGTAAGCACTAAAAAAAGGAACTCTAGCCTTAATAAGGATGTCTGTGGTTATATTAATGAGACCGTGTAATCCAAATGCCCAATGGTGTGATCCCCTTCTCCATAAACTGACCCACCATTGTGTGTGTCTCCCTGTGGTGGCTCTTGTCAATCTGCAGAGTAATCTGCCAATGGATGTGTAGGCAACACTGACCACGGTGCAATCCTCTGAAATAAGGAATGGATACAATAACAGAGTAGGAGTCAGAAGTCACATAGAGCCAGCACTGGAGGATCTGGTTTTTCCCTGGATATCTTGTCCAAGGAGATAGCAAGAGGGGAAGCAATAAAGACAGATCACACAAATCCACTCCAAAACAACTTTTTAAAAAAGCATGTGGAAATGTTTATTTTTATATAATAAAATTTAAATAAGACAATTTATTCTCAAAGACACCAACTACTTAGTGAGAGAGAAATAACTACAAAATTTCAAACTTTAAACTGTAAATTAATAATGTGTGATGTATAATGGAAGCAAAGAAAGTAAAATCAATTCTCATGAATGGGTCAGGGCACACTGAACAGCGTATGTCCGAATACAACGACCTTGAAGGCTATAAGCAGCACACAGCAGTTACAAAACATTTCACACTGAGAACAACAGAAATCTAACAATAAGAACTATACACTCAGGATTCATAAGTAGATCCACGCATATTTAGGGAAGAGTACAGATGGCAGAGGTGTATCACAAGGCCAGAAAGTTAGGCTGCACC